CCTTTGGCTGCCTCATCTCTCCTCTGAGAAATGCCAGGTGCCTGGGGAAGGTGACCCTGTGTGCATCTTGTCCCCGGCCCCTGTCCCAGCTGCGCGGCGCGAGCGGGAGAAGCCGCGGGAAGCGAGGGAAGACACTTCCTCCAGCGGCGGATCTGAGCTCACCTCCTGGCCCTTGATCCCTCCAGCCCGGGCTATGTGGGTCAGCGGGGAAGCACAGCTGAGAGCGACGTCCCTTCCTCCTCTCTCCCTGGAGATTTGCTTTTAAAGGAACAAATAGGTTTGGCTTCAAGTGCTGCAGTTCTGATTTTTTAATGATGTTTTTTGGAAACAATGAGCTAAATACCAGCTGGGTTTGGATCTGCATCTCAGAGTGGTGAGATTTTCTTCCTTTCTCACCTTCCTGCTCCTACCTTGCTCTGCTCTCAGAAACCTTTTTCTGCTTAGGAAAACATCAGCAACGGGGGAAGTTTGTCATCCTGTCAGATGGTCCTGCTGGAATGAAAGTTGGTCTGGTATCCAGGTGGGACCACCTGGACTGACCCTGAGGGCCCTGCCCACCATGAACACACAGACATGGTGCTCACAGCCCTCAGGGTCCCCTCAGCATCACCAGCCCCACTGCAGGGGGAGCTGAGCCCCCCAACCCCCTCCTCTGCTTCGAGGTCCCCAGGAGCTTTGTCACCCACTGATAGGAGGAGGAGAAGGTGACCAAAGCATTCCCGGTCCCTTCTCCCTATGGGCACAGTTTGGTGCTCTTGGGCTGGTTGGCAAAGGGGTTGGTGGGCAAATGAGTCACCTCACCAGTTTTCCCTCTGTCCTGAACCCAGGGTGGGTGGTGTTGGGGGAGATGGATCAGGGGGAGATGGATCTCCTCAGGTTGGGGGAGATGGATCATCCTGGCCATGCTATTGCAACAGCTGGAAGTGTCCAAGGCCAGCTTAGATGGGACTTGGAGCACCCTGGGATAGTGGAAGGTGTCCCTACCCATGGCAGGGGCTAGAACTAGATGATCTTTAAGGTCCCTTCCAACCCCAACCCTTCTGATTTTATGATTCTGTGATCTCTTACACCATTGCATCACTGTTCCCCTTGGAGAACTTCAACCACTGCATTCCCTGTCCATGTGGAAGGCCACATTGCTTTGGATCATCCACCAGCTTGGCTGCCTTTGTTGTGTCAAGGTGGGAAGGAAGAATTTGTGGAGCTTTAGCTGGAGCTTTCCCCTTTGTGTGAGAGCTGCTGGTGGAATGTTCTCCTTGGTCAACAACTCTGCTCCAGCAATGCAGCACCAGCCCTGCACCGAGCTCTTCCCCTAGCCCAGAGCATCCCTAGGACCACCAGGAAGGTTCCATCAGCTCTGTAGGTGGCTTGGGCTGAGGTGGCAGCTGGGGCTGGTGCTGTCCCCCAGCCCCTGGAGCAGGGTGTGTGCCCTGGGGGGGTCCTGGCTCCTCAGCTCCTTCAATCCCTTCAGGAGGGGCTGCAGTGGGAGCAGGGTGGGATGGACAGCTCTGGGTTTGATGTAACTCTCAGTGCCAAACAGGGTCAGCAGAGAGGTGGCTGTCAGGGAGGGACAACACACCTCGAGTCACCTCTCATATCAGCAACCCCCAAATCAGAAGTCATGTGCATTTCCCCTCACCAAAAGCAGAGTGCTTTCATGCCTTTTGGGTTTTTTTGTTTTTGTTTGTTTTTTTTTTTTAATCTAGAAATATGGTTTCTTGAAACATTTTGAGTTTCTCTCAAGACATCTCTTGCATGTCATCTTTCAAGTTGTTTCTGTCAAGACTCCCCTGCTGTCACCAGCCAGGTCCCCCCATGGCACCCATCTCCAAAACCCAGCCCCTACAGCTGGGGCTGGTTGGACTCACAGCACCCTAAAACACAATCAAGTCTTAACCCGATCCCTGTCAAAGTTCTGGCAGCTCCTGAGCTCCTTCCAGCCCCATCCTCAGCTGGATTCTCTCCATAGCTTCTTTTAGGATGTGCCTGATAAGCCTCTGTGCCTCATGTGGGGGCTTGTCTGTGTGTTTCCATATCTCGCCCAGCTTATCAGCCACAGAGGGTGGGAGGTGTGGCCAGGCTGGGAATTAACCACCCCATGCAAACCCTCTGGAAATCAGGAGCAGAAATTCCCCCCCCTTTTTCCACTGTGGCTTTAAACCAAGAGGTAACTTTGCAGGGTTGCAGAAGCTGTAGGAGGGAAGGTGCTGAGCCCTGCCTGGTTTCCACTGGAGGAATGGCTGCCTCTGCCCTTCACATCCAGCAAAGTCCAGGAGAAACTTCAACACCACAGATTGCCCAAAATAAACCCTTCTTTCCCTGGAGTTGATGCAAGGATTGTTCCCAAAGGGGTGGGTTTGGGGCTGGACTTCACCTGAGCCCCATTTCTTTCCCAACCTGTGCTTTTCTGCCATCACCTCCCTCCATCCTTGCCCCAGCCCAGGTGAATGGAGATCACTGGGGATAAAACAGGGGGAAATCTGTGCCCCCCTCTGTTTTGGTGTGAATCACGGCGGGATGGGAGCCGGCACCGAGGCAGTTTTGTGCTGCCCCCAGGTTTTGCCGAGGTTTCCTCCCAGCGCTGGAGCTGGCCCAGCCCTCCCGGCTTCCCGGGGCTTCGCTGGGAAGCGCTGGGAAGACAAAACCCCGCTCTGGAAGTGAGGCTATTGTTCTTACTAATTTTAACTGGATGTTCTTCCCCAAGCCTATTTTTATTCATTGCTTGTGGTAAGCCCTTTCTCTAAGGTAGAGCAATTTGCCACGGGACTCTTTTTTTTTTCTTTTTTTTTTTTTTGGTGTGTTTACCAATTTTAATTGAGAGATATCTCCTTTTTTACAAACCCAGAGCTGGAGGAGCTTTTTAAGCACCCGTTGCTGAGCCTCCTGCCCTGGGTTTGCTTTGATCTCTGCAGGTGAGTGTGCATTTTTGGGGCCAGAGATTGATCCTGCCTATTTGCATGTAAATCCCCAGGTTATTAAGATCCGAATCTGGCCCTTTAAATTTAATACTCCGCTTTATGCTTTTATTTCCGCGTTTCTTAAAGTAATTTCCAAAAATAACAAACTTCAAACATGACGGGGCCATCTAACGTTTTACTGCCTTGGCTGGAGTAGAAGGAACATTTCTGGAAGTATATTATCCAATTTAACGAGCCTTTCCCATCCTGGCGTGGCTCCCACCCCTCACCCCCTCTCGGAGCTGCTTTGGACGGCTCTTTGGACCCGTGCCACCTAATCCTATTAGAGGGACTTTGGTTACACTGTGCCTTGTGTTTGTAACCAAGAAAATCAGCTGCACAGGGGGGTCCTCTCCCTTCCCCTCTCCCATCTTTTTGCCTGGAGTTGAGATGAGAGCCCAGCCAGTCCCACGAGGTTCCTGCTCAGCCTTTGCTTTTCATTTTATTGCTCCACTCTGCATTTATTAAGGAAGATTTTGAAGTAAATTGGGTACTTGTGAACTTTTATAATTAATTTGGAAGGGTCAGCTCTTCCCAGCCTGGGGAGGGCTTCTTTGTGTGGTCCTTTTGTGAAAGGCAGAGGTTGGAGAGGCTGTTCTATAGCTGGGATTTGCTTTTAATAGGGACCTGGCTATTTTTTGAAGATCTCACGGCTCTGGAAAGATCATGAGGGTGTTTTTATGCAGGGATGTGATGAAAAGGTTTGCAGAGCCCTTGGCTTGGGTGAAAAAAAAACCAACACAAACATAAAAAGGGATAAAAAAAGGTAAAAGGACCACATGTCCTGGGGCTGTGCTTGGCAAACCAGAGCCAGCACCTGGAGCTTGGAGATGCTCCAGGAGGTCCCCCCACTTTGGTGCCAGGTAGGGCTGGGAGCCCCTTGTCCCTCTGTCCATCCCACTCGGCCCCACACACCACCCAGGGGACCTCTTGCTTCTCCTCAGAGCTGTTAGAACTGAAATTCTTTTCCTTACCACATTGCTTTTCTTGAAATCCAGCATTTCCTCCACAAAATAGTCACATAAACCTTTAAAAGGAGAAGTGGAGGGCAGGGAGAAGACGGTGGATGAGAGGAAATGGCCTCAAGTTGTGCCAGGAGAGGTTTAGGTTTGATATTAGGAAAAATTTCTTCACTAAAAGGCTGGTCAAGCACTGGCCCAGGCTGCTCAGGGCAGTGATGAAATCATTGTCCCTAAGGGAATTAAAAACCATGTGGATGTGGCACTTGGGAACATGGGTTAGTGCTGGGCTTGGCAGTGCTGGGAGAATGGTTGGACTTGAGGAACTTAAAAGGCTTTTCTAACCTTAGCAATTCTATGATGGGCAAAAAAAAAAAAAATCTGTGAATAATTAACATTTCTGGGAAAAAAAGACAGACAGACAGTGGTTTTCTCTAGAGTAGACTGGAAGGAGACAGGGCATGATGGTCCCATTTGGGCATTGCCTGGCAAGGTCAGGGGTGGAATTTAACCTGGGATAAACATGTGTCTCCATCAGCTCAGCTGCAATGAGAATCCTCACTGGCTGTGGGGAGAGGGGAAGGTGAGCAGTGCTGACTCTGAGGAGTGAGGGAGGGGAGGGTGATGTGCTCCCTGGGAATGCAGGGCTGTAGCTCAGGACAGAAACCTCTCCCTAGCCAAAACTGGGGAGCAAAGGGCTTGGAGGAGCTCAGGGGGCTTTTGGCTGTGGAGATTCCTGGTGGAAGTGCTGTCAGTGGGGAATCTTCCCATGTGAAGCCAAGGTTGTTTGGAAAGAGCGTTGAAACTTGGTGCCTTCCCTGGGACACAGTAACCCAGCAGAGAGGAATACAAGGAAAACCTGTCCATACTCCATCATCGGGCCCCATCTGTGGTGCCACCAGGTCTCTGTCTCATTTATGAGTTGCACTGTTAATTAACAGCAATTAGCATGGCTAATTAACTGTGTGATGGGGCTGCTTCTCTGCCAAGACACCTCCAAAGCTGTGCTTGGTCCCTGGTTGATTCCCCCTGCCCCTGTTGGGTGTCCCACCCTGACCATCACCTTTCTCCTCTCTCTCCCCAGCATGGGTCGGCTCCCTGGCCATGGGGATGATTTTTTTCTGCTCTCCCATCGTCAGCATCTTCACCGACCGCATCGGCTGCAGGACCACGGCGGCCATGGGGGCCACCATTGCCTTCATCGGGCTCCTCTCCAGCTCCTTCACCAAGTAAGGCTGTGGAGGGCACACCCAGCTCCTTGGAGAGCTCCTCTTGCTCCCTGTTCCCTGCAATCCCCCTGCCAACACACTGCTGCTGCCTCTGGGGGCAAAGCAGGTGGTGCCCATCAGCATCAGAGATGCCCTGGCATCCCTACAGCCCACGTGTGCTCAGCCTGTTCCCCTCCAAACTGAACCTTGTGTCATTAGGTAAAAAGAGAGCAAATTTTACCCTAGCAAGAGACTGTATTTTTGGGGATTTCAGCACTCAGATCCCTCATTTGATCTTTAAAACATCAGGAGAAGTTGGTGTGCCTCTCACGGGCAGCTCCAGAGAGGCACTCACAGAGAAAACTGTTCAACCTTTGCAACCATTTTCACATTTGGTGCTGAAAGTAAATTAATGCTTAAAATAATATTTGGTGGATTACGCCTAAGAGGGAGTTTCTGTGCAGGGCAGACAGGGAGGGGAAGGCAGACAGGGTTTGGAGCAGTTTGTGGTGTTCCTGCCCTGGCTCGTGTGTCTGTGGCAGTGCAGGGCCACTGCTGCTCCTTGTTTTCCATGCCTGATCCCATGCCATGAATTTCTGCTGGCAGGCACTGGCCAATGGCAGGTGTACCCTGTGTGTCTTTCCAGCCCAGAAATCGGGGTTGGCATCGTTGTGGGAGCAAAAAGAGGTCACCTCTGGGGTAGTTTATGTGACACTTATTAAACACAGTCTCAGAGGCTCCATGGAGACACCTCCAAAGCAGCATTTGCCCCACTTTTTCTGAATAAAAACATTGCTTTGGGTTGGATTTCAGTTAAAATCAATATTGTTTTAATTAAAATGCTTCAAGAGTGGATTTTTAAAGCAAATACACACCAGTTTTCCAGAGGGCGACTTGCCTGTGCTGTGCTCCTCCTGGTCAGTGAGACCCTTGTGCTCATCCCAGCCCTGTTTCCCTGGATCCCCAAGTCCTCATCTGTGGGATCCCCCATCATGCTGGGAGTGGGATCAGTTCTGATCCCCAGGCAACCCCCCCAGGACTGTGGCCAATTACAGATGGGATTTTTGGGTTTCTAAAACCATCTTGGACATTGGTGTCTGCAGCTTCCTCCTCAGGTGCCACCCTTTGTGTTTCTAAATATAATGGCAAAAGGTGCAGTGGATCCTGGGGGAAGCTGTGCCCTGGCATGCAGATCACAGGAGCTTCCCATGGAATCCTGCTTTCCTTCCAATCAACAAAGCTTGGACTTTTTTGCCCTCTCTATTGTAAAATGCTTGTTCAAAGAAAAAGGGCTCGTGGGACCACACCACTGCCAGGGGCTTGTTGTGTTGGGCTTCAAAAAAAACAAAACACCAAAATCAAACAGTACAGGCAGAGAGGAATATCTTTTCCAGGAGAGCTACAGGACTGAAATCCCCATTTCCTGCCTCTCACTCTCGGACCACATTCCTCTGGCTGCCTGTTAAGGGAGAAAGGAGCCCCTTTGCAGCTGGAGCAGAGCGAGGGGAGCTGCGAGGGCAGAGCGAGCGCGGGGCCGGGGCAGAGCAGGGAGCCTGTGGGATTTGGCAGCGCTCCACCCGGGTGGCGAAGGCTGCTCCTGAAATTCAGGGCTTGTGGCTCCAGCTCTCCCAGAACAATGGAGAAGCTTTTTCTTGGTCCCTCCTGCCAAGTCCCTCCACCACAGCTGGAGATCGTTCCCCTGTCACATCATTCCCCTGTTGCAGAGGGACACAGAATGGCTTTGGTGGGCTCAGGCAGAGCTGGCTCAAAACTCACCCCCATCTTTATCTCCTAGTTTCTCTAAAATGGGTTTATTTTGTCCAAATGGAGGAGCAGCAGTTCCCAGCACAGCACTGAGCTGCTCCAAAAGCCCTGTGAGCCACCAAGACTGGCAAGACCCCAGTGCTCGGCTCAGTGCCTCTTGTCTCAAAATATTGGGAATTTTGTAAGGAAACCACTCTTGTCCCAAAATATTGGGAATTTTGTAAGGAGACCACTAAAGAAACCAAATATGCTGAAAAGCAAAGCTCTGGGGAAGGCTGGATGGGGTCAGTGTGAGGCTTTTCCTCTCTGCTGCCTTGCTCTGAGGTGTCTCCTGTACTCAGAACTAGCTCAAGCCACCAGAGACCTCGTGTGCTCTCAAAAAAAGAGAAATCCCAGTTAAGGCTTTAGCTTCCCTCCAGTTTAAGGGGGTTGGTTTAGCATGAGGAATGGGAGATGATGGCCAGCTCAGCAGGGCTGTCTTCACATGTCCCCAGTGCCCTCACAGCCCTCCTCCCCTGCACAAAGTGTTCTGTAGGGAGGATTGGGTCCCTCTTCATCTGCTTCTCCTTCCACTCCACAATTTCTGCCCAGTTACTCTTGCACAGAGGAATCCCCCAAACTTCTGCCAGCAAGGATAAACCAGGGCTGTCCCCAGCCCTGGAAGCAGGGAGAAGACCTCCTTGTCCCAGGAGAAACAATTATCCATTGTCAACCTCACAATCCGAGGGGATGATGCCGCCCTTCCCACAGGACAGCTGCTGGCTGATTCCCAGTAAGCAGGCTGGGAAATCCTGGCTCTTCAAGAAGCATGGCTGAAAGGAGCCCCTGCTCATGCAGGGCTGTCTGAGCATCACTGGGGAGCAGATGGGAGCTGTGGCATTTGTCTCCACTTCCCCGACACATCAGCTGAGCTGCGGCACCAGCACTGCCGTGACCAGGCCGGGGCTGGTGCGTGGGAGGTCAGGCACAGCCCACCAGGCCCAGCTGCTTGCCTGGCTCCCACAGAGGGGGCTTCTGATGTGGTTTTGCTCTGGACTGGATGGAAATTGCCTTTCATGACAGTCATTTGTCTCGGCGCCGTCAGGCATGGCAACCGTGTTCTGCTTTCTGCTTGGCAGGCTGGAGGGATGAGCGTGTAATGGAAGGCATGATGTGCTTGTAAAGGTTTTCCCAACTCCCAGCTGCTCTGGGAGATGTGGGCTGCTGTCTCCTCACTTGCTTTGGGAGCAGCACTCAGTCTTGCTCCGAGGTTGGAGCACAAACCTTGCTTGTACAACACCATGAGCTGCCCAAAGTTTTCCTCACACTTTCCCCCCAGGCAGTAACCCATGGCAGACCTTTGCAGCTGGATGGATTGCATGGGAATGAAGAAAAAAATTCCTTCATCTGGAGAGAAACACAACAGGTTGTTTGTACTGCCTAAATCCAGGCTCCTTTGTCAGCTGCCTCTGTTGGGAAAATTGGGCTGGAAACTGGGAGGCAGCTCCTTCCAAGAGCTTTCAGCACTCTCCATCTGCTCTGTAGAGCAGCCACTTCACTCCCTCTTTGAGTGCAGCCACCAATGTAAGGTACAAATGAGATCTATTAAATGTCTAATTAAAGCTCCCAGAGGAGCTTAAAGAAGAACTTAATTAACCAGCCTGGAGCCTGGGCAGAAACACCACATTTCCTTCCTGCGTGCCTAATAACCAGCAGGGTTGGTGCCTTCTGCTTCCAAACACTGGGTGGAGAATGTTTTCAGTTAGTCCTTTCAGTGGAAAAACTAAAAGGAATCCTAGCTAAAAATATCCCACCATCCCTACCTTAGAAAATCTTGTTTGCTGTAATTGAATAACCATTGAAGTAAGGTCAGCTTCCCAAGGAGGCCAGGTTGGCTGCTGCCTTCTCCTGGTGGCAGAAAGCACTTCCCAGCTCCACTTTGTTTTGCTGCAGATTTCATGTGCCAGCTGTTAGGTGAGGATTATCCTGGTTTTGGTGGGGGATAAGCTCCTCAATGCCAGCCTGTCTGTGCAGTACCTGCGGTGTGTGACACCCAGGCCTGTGCAGCGCCGTGGGGGAGGAGGAGGAGGCTCCCTCACCTCTGCCTCACATCCCCACTCCCATGTGTGTTCTTCCAGGTCCCTGGAGGTCCGTTATTTCACATATGGGATCCTCTTTGGCTGTGGCAGCTCCTTCGCCTTCCAGCCCTCGCTGGTCATCCTCGGCCACTACTTCAAGCGCCGCCTGGGCCTGGCCAACGGCATCGTGGCCGGGGGCAGCTGCCTCATCTCCGTGCCGCTCCCCTTCTTCCTCAAGATGGTCGGGGGTGCCATTGGCCTGGCACACACTTTTCAAGTACTCAGTGCCTTAATGCTCATCCAGATTTTCTTGTCCATGACCTACCGGCCCATCCTGACGCCTTCTTGTGACTCTCAGCACGACGGGCACGACAAGCTGGGCAGCCGGAGCGTGAGGCAGCAGTGCTGGGCCCAGACCCGCAAGTATTTCAACCTGAGGGTTTTCCGGAGAAAGACCTATAGGATTTGGGCCTTTGGGATCGCTACTGCTGTCCTGGGATACCTCGTACCTTACATGAACCTGGTGAGAGCCCTGGCTGGGGCTGGAAGGGGAGGGAGGTCCCTTTGCCCAGAGTGAGGAGGAGGTGGAAAGGTGGGGATGGGCAGTAGGGGCAGAGGCACCAAAAGCCTCGAAGCCAAGAAACTGGTGCACATCCTGTAAACAGGAATAGTGATGGATATAGTTTTGTGTGCCCTCTCTGTGCCCTCTGTGCCAGGGTCACTTCCCAGCGCTCCTAAGAACCAGCACCAGTAGCAGGAGAAGAAGGGCCTGCTGGGTTTGGGGTGGATGGAGCGCAGGTCAGTGTGGACACGAGGGTCACACAACCACCCCAAATCCATGAGCCCTCTGCAGGAAATCCCATCCATTTTGGGAAATGAGAGTGATCAATGTACTACAGCTTCATGTCCTTGTGTCCTTCCCTCCATCCTAGGTCAAATACGTGGAGAAGCGATTTCAGGAAACCAAAAAGGACTGGATCCTCCTGGTTTGCCTCGGGGCCATGTCGGGGCTGGGGCGCTTGGTTTCGGGCCGCATCGGCGACTGCATTCCCGGGCTGAAGAAGATTTACCTGCAGGTACGGTGTGATTTACCTGCAAGTATGGTGTGATTTACCTGCAGATATGGTGTGATTTACCTACAGGTATGGTGTGATTTACCTACAGGTACAGTGTGATTTACCTGCAGGTACGGTGTGATTTACCTGCAGATATGGTGTGATTTACCTACAGGTACAGTGTGATTTACCTACAGGTATGGTGTGTTTTACCTACAGGTATGGTGTGATTTGCCTGCAGGTACAGTGTGTTTTACCTACAGGTACAGTGTGATTTACCTACAGGTACAGTGTGATTTACCTGCAGGTACAGTGTGATTTACCTGCAGGTATGGTGTGATTTACCTGCAGGTATGGTGTGATTTACCTGCAGGTACAGTGTGATTTGCCTGCACATATAGTGTGATTTACCTGCAGGTATGGTGTGTCCAGCCCTCCATGGAGGTGCTGGCCAACCACAGTGGGGCAGGGATGGCATCTCTACATTGGTGTCCACATTCTGCTTAATAACTGTCAATCACAAAGCCTTTAATCACAACCATTGTCTGCTGTGAGGGAAGAAAATTGACTACAGAAATGTGTAAGAGGAGTTACATACTTGACCCCAGGGATCGGTGTCTGTTCAGCAATCAAACTCCATGGTAGCCACTCTTCCCAAACTACCGACACCCTTTAACCTCCTTGTGGTTTTTGAAGAACAAACTGCTGAAATCTAGCAGCTAATCCAGCAGTTAATCCTTCTTAACCCTTCTTAAAAGGTTATTCTTAAGGGTCTCTCCGAGACAGGAGCAGCGGCTGGATGGCTTTGCTGGGTCCAGGGGAGGGAGCAGTGACATTGACCTGTTCAGTGCCATCTCCATGACTCTTCCTGCTGCCCACCCCTCTCTCATGCCCACTTCTGTTCCCCCAGGTTGCGTCCTTCATGCTGTTGGGCCTCCTGTGCATGATGATCCCCCAGTGCCGAGGCTTCGAGGGCGTCATTGTCATCTGCCTCTTCCTTGGCCTCTGTGATGGCTTCTTCACCACCATCATGGCCCCCATTGCCTTCGAGCTGGTGGGGCCCATGCAGGCGTCCCAGGCCATAGGGTACCTCATGGGGCTGATGGCCGTGCCCATGACTGCAGGCACGCCCATTGCAGGTGGGTAACACCACGGGGCTGCACCAGGACCCTGCGGGTGGGAGGGACGTGGTGGTGGCAGCCTTCATCCGTGGTGGTGTTTTGGTGTGAGGACGGAAGCACTGGTTTGAGTTTTCTGGTTTATCAGATCACGTGGGGGTTGAGGAATGGGGGTGGCATCACTTCATGCCATGTCCTGTGGCATCTCAGGGCTTTTCTCAAGATGGTCATTGTGGGAACAGTGAGCCAAGGTCATGTTAAGCCAAGATTTCTGCTTGCAGCTGAGCTAAAAATTGGCAGATAATAATTTTCTAGGAGTCGTTTTAGATGGAATTGAAGTTAGAGATGGAGACACCTGAGCCTCCACAGGACCTGGGTCTGTGTTCCAGCACAGCAATGACCTCAATGTCCTTACAACGAGGGCTTTGCCAGAGCTGCCCCTGGGCAGCAGGACCTCTGCATCAGCAGCACTAAGCCAAAGCTGGATAAGCACCTCCGATCTCTCTGCTTCCGGCAGCAAAGTTCACTCCAACGCCCTCGGGACGGAACATGGGGCTCACAGACCTTCACTGGGAGGGTGCTGCACCAGGACCCCTGAGTAGGGCTTGCTGGGTGAGGGAGCCCTTTGCTTCAGCTTAATCCCCAGGGAAGCATCCACTCAGGAGGGATTTTCTAGAGCTGATCAATGGCCATGTGTTATTCTCCAAGGATGCCTGGCTGTGTTGGAACTTGCCAGACAAATGTAGAACCTGGTTGGGTTTTAAATGCTTGGCTATTGTTTGTAACTGGCAGCGTGTATTTCACAGATGGAGATAAAACATCCATCAGGGCAGGGCTTCCAAATGGAGACAATCAGCAGAGGAACAGCCCCTGCCCACTTTCCCATTGCCTCCTGGCTGGCAAGCCTCTGGGAAGAGGTGTTGGGTTTAACACGTCTCAGCTTGCATTTGGGATTGTCTGGGACGTGGACGGTTGTGTCCTGTTCTGGAGAAACAGGAAGGACGGCTGAGGCTTTCCTTCTCCACTCCCTAGGTACACAGTGTTGGCTGCACACATCCCTTAATCCAGGGCGTAAAAACTCCAAGAAATGCAAACGGAAAAAAAGATTATTTTAAAAACCCAAATCTCCCCAGATCTGATGGGTGACGCAAGCTGCACTCGAAGGAGGGAACAAGCAGGTCATTAGACTAACGAGCTCATTAGGCTCTAACGTCATCTCTCTTCTCTTCCAGGATACCTCAATGATTATTTTGGGAATTACGACGCGGCCTTTTACTTTGCGGGGGTGCCGCCCATCATCGGCGGCCTGGTGCTCTCCGTGGTGCCGCTGGTCCACCAGAGGATGCTGAAGAAGCAGCGCCTGGATTCTGGCAAAGACAAGATGCTGGTGTCGGAGGCCGTGGTGAACGGGGAGCTGCTGCCAGGCTGCCCAGCCTCTGAAGCACACATGTGACACCACTCCTGGCTCTCCAGGACACCAGCAGCCTCTCCATAGCCCCAGCACAGGCCCTTTCCCAGACGGACCGAAATTCCCAGTGATCGCAGATGCACTATGTTTGTAAAGGAGAAAACACCAACATTTCTTCTAGTTAAAGGCTTTTAACTAGCAGAAATGCTCTTTTTTTTTTTTTTTTTTTTTTTTTTTGGGACAGTTTTGATTTCAAAGCCACCTTTTTTTTTTTTTTTTACCCCTAACCATTTTTGTAAGGAGAACTCTCACCAGGATTCAAACTTGATTGAGCTCCCGCTCCTCTCCCGGTTTTCTATACGTCACAACAGAGGTTTACAGCTAATAAATGCCTTTTCCAAGCAGGCCACGGATGGAACTTGTTGAACCTTGCAGCTGTCCATCCTCCTCCAGTGTCACTCGGGTGTCGCATCCAAGTGAGACAGCTCCCACCCCATCCAGCACCTGGGGCTGTTTTGGAGCCAGAGATCCGAAGGAGGAAACGCTGCTTTAGTCTGATGCACAAACCAAATAAATGTCAGCGAGTCCCGCTTTCATCTTCCTCTTTCCTCCTTTCCCGCTGCTCTCCCACACCCCCAGGGAGCTGCAGCTGGGATGACAGGGAGCTCAGCTGGCTCCAGCCCTCGGAGTCACACGGGAGCACACCCTTCCTGCAAAATATGCCTTAAAAACACGTGGATGAGACCAGCAGGTCCCTTGGTCGCTTTCCACCTCCGTTTTCCCACCCAGCAATTAATGATTGGGCTTTAGAGCTGCAAAAGAGAGGGGCAGCTCCTTGCACAGCCCACAGTGCCCGGCTCTGTGGGGCCAAATCCATGGGATCACCACCAAAAAGGGCACTTTGGTGGCTTTGGGGCACACGGGGAGGGACAGAGGCCCTGTGTCATGGAGCAGCTCCACGCTGGGAGGTGGATTCTCTGCTGGGCTCAGGGGCACCCACAGGTGTGGGGATGTTGCTGGCTCAGGGCACGGGGTGCCTCTGCTGTTTTTGGGGGCCAGTTGTGTATTATGCAGCAATAAGCACGAGCCAGTATTGGTGGGGAATCCCAGTTTTCCAAAGGGTTTGACAGCCCCAGTAGCGTTTAACTTGTAGCCTGTGTGTTGTCACTGAGCTGGTGCAGGGTCAGTGCTGATCTGGGGGGAGAGGGAGAGAGTGCAAGGAAATCACACAGCCAGTGGGTACCCACCACACTGAGTGGCAGCAGAGCTCATCCCCAGCTTGGGCAGGAATCCATCATTGCCCACAGAAAATTGTAGAAATTCAAATTGCCCAGAGAAGCTGTGACTGCCCCATCCCTGGAATTGCTCCAGGCCAGGTTGGGCAGGGCTGGGAGCAACCTGGGATAGTGGAAGGTGTCCCTGCCCATGGCAAGGGGCTGGAATGAGAAAGCTGTAAGGTCCATTCCAACTCAAACCATTCCATGATTCTATGATCATCTCCAGGGATTGCTAATGAGCTTGGCTAATGAGTGAGAAGGGAAGTTCTCCTGCCCTGGTGGGTCCCTGTATGAACAAGGAGCCAGCTGGGACTGGGGTACCTTTTCCTGGGAGAGAGCAAGAAACAAAACTCACATTCATCCTGACTGCAGACCCATCCTTCATCAGATTTTCATTTTGTTCACCTGACAGTAAAATCTCAGATGTCTGAAGAGGGACGTGTGTCGTGGGAATCATCCCTTGGTCTCCGGGCAAGTGTGGGGTTTGTAACACCAGGACAAGTCTTTGCTGTGGAAATTTGGGCTCAGTGGAGGCCCCTCCCACAGGCAGCAGTGGGACTTTTGTACATAATAGGCTCAGGACCCTGCATGTCCCTCTGGCCCTGTTTTTAACCCCTGTTGGCTGATGCATTGTAAGGTCTTGTGGTCTCGTGGCCCTTCTGTCCCCATGCGAGCTGGAAAATTACCTTCTGTGTTGTGATGTGTCTGTTTATGATATAAAATGAGATGTCTACTTGTCTCTTTCTTGGATACACTTTTCCATGGCTGTTCTCACCCTTCATGGCCTGTGTTGCATCCTCTGCTGTGGCTCTGCTGAGCCATCACTGAGTTTTGGGAGCCATGGGAGGCAGATGAAGCTGCAGGAGGAGGCAGGGCCTGAACCACCTAACCCTGGCTCCAGCTGGGATCTGCCAGACTTAGCCTAGGGCAGGGCATTAATCTGGTGCTTTTTGGGTGGGAGCCTTGGAAGTGGGGCAGCTTCAAAGCCCTCTAACAGCTGAAGGAAATAAAAAGCTCCTCATTGTAACTCCTTCTGTGAGTTTTGGGGCATTAATTCGCAGTGGAATTTGATGAAGCTCATTAAATCATACTTTGGACCTTAATGCCCCCCAAAGGAGAGATTATGAGAGGTTTAAATTCCAGAAGTAGCTTCTTCAGAGCAAGCAGAGCATGAGCAGAGCTGTCTCCAAACCCCATCTGGGGCTGAGGGAGAGGCTGCACAGCAGAGCCCACTGATGGCTGCACCCAGACCTTGTGTGGCAAAGCCTCCCTGGCTCCAAGGGTGATTTTATGGTTCAAATCCCACATTCCTACAGAATTCCACTTGCCTTAACTGCCCCATATGCCTGCAAAGGCCCTGGGAGATGCCTGCATTCAGTGCAAGGGTGCTAAGGCCTGCAGTGGCAGCAGAGCGGCTGTGTCAGCCCAGGAGGGGTGCTGGTACCCCCATCTACCCCCTCTACATTTTGATCTTTCCCCATGGCTTTTATTATTGCCCCTCTAGGAGATCTGGAGTGAGGAGGGGCTTTCTTGGCCACCCCAGCTGGGTCAGAGGAAGGAGCCCCTCATCCTATCCCAGACCCATGTCTGTTGCCAGCCTCCCAAAACCACACTCAGTGTCTTTGTCTGGTCACAGTCCTGCCCTTGGTGGGCACAAGGACAAATTCTGCAGGTTTGGACAACAGCCATGAAAGGTCTCCTGATCAGCAAACACAGATGGGAATGGGAAGGACAAAGGTTGGAGCAGTGTCAACATGCAGGGAGTATCTGGGGCTTGTTTGTCAGATTGCTACTGCTGCTGCTGTGGGTCTCATTTGGCCCTTTTGAACACCAGGCAGTTTGCAGGAATTTCTGCATGTGAGAGGTGGGATTGTGAGCAGGGAGGGGTTGTGTTGTCCTGCTCTGCAAACATCTGCTCAGCCTCTGGTGCTCTGGTGCTGTGATGCCAATGGGTCCCTAACTGCTGCAAAAACCTTCATCCCAAAGCTCCCCCTGCTCCATCAGGGCCATCCTGTCCTAGCCCAGCACATCCCCATCCCCTTTGGGGCTGCCTTTTACTCAGTTTTCTGACTAAACCCCAACCTTCTCCCTGCCCTGGAGTGCCAGGCTGTGATTCCTGCCCCTCTCCCTGCTCTGGGAAGGGAAGGGAAGGGGGAGCCCAGCACTCAGGCTCAGGCAGATTTGGGAGCCAGCAAGGAAGGGGGGTGGGCTGAGCCCCTTGGGTGGGAAGGGGTGGAAGGGAGGGCAGGGCCCCACTGCAGCCCGTGGCTGGGCTGTCTGCAGGGTGCAGAGCCTTGTGTAAGTGTGCAGGGAGCACAGGACATGTCCCAGCAGCGCCTGCTCGGGGCTGGGCTGGGGCTGCCTTTTAAATCTTTACCTTAAGGGTGTTCAAAACCAACTTCTTGTCTTTTCTTCTTCTTCTTTTTTTTTTTTTCTTTTTTCTTTTATTATGGTTCTACCGCAGAGTGAGGCATCAGGTTTAACTCCTCTGGCTCTGGCTGGGGGATGGAAGGGGACAGCTGAGCTGGAAGGGCTCCCAGGATGGTTGTGTTTGTGATGGGAAGGGTAGGAGGGCTTTGGGAGCTGTCTGGGAAGTGCCATGATTCATGGCTCAGTGCTTTTTTCAGTTTTAGAACAATATGCAGGAGCTGCTTCACTGCAGCTTGCCCTGCCCTGAGGTCCTGCAGCCAGGCAAACACAAGTTTCGTAGTCACAGAGCTTAAATTTATCAAATTCTGGCCTCTCTCCAGCTGGGGTTGAGGTTTCCTAACATTTCTCTGCTGTGGGAGCTGTGGGAAGGCCACATCCTAATTGCCAGCCAAGCAGAGGGCTTTTGCAGGTCTGCTGTGGTACCGTGGGGTTTGGAGACCCCCAATTTCAGGAGGTTTTGGCTCTGCCTCCCACCATGGTGGTGCTTTGGGGCTGCCACTCGAGCTTCATCACCCCTGGGCTGAGCTGCCTGGAGGAGCCAGCAGGGTGGTGGCCAGCAGCTGGGCAAGGACATTCCTGCCCTCCCTTCCCTGGCAGTGCCCTGGCAATGTTCTGCATGGCAGCAGAGGCTCCCTTTGGTACGTGGGTGCCAGGAGCAGTTTGCTCTGGGCAGCCAGATTTGGTGCTGAGGATCTCACCTGCTCTGGGCTTGAACCCTGGCTGACACTTGCATCTCTAAGTGGCCACGTAATCCTCACCTGGGTGAAGGTGAACCCGGATCAAATCCTCTGAATGCAGGGGGACAGATCCAGCTGAGACTTTTGCTGTCTCTCCATTCTTCACTGCAAACCATTCCTGGCTTTTGTGTGCTCCTGCACCCCACAGTTTTGTTTGGGGTCGCTTTGATTATTTTAGCTTCAATTACTTCCAAGCTGGCAGAGTCTGCTTCACCTTTTCCAGTTGGAAGCAGAAAATTGGAATGACTTTGAAAGCCAAGGCAAGCAGAGCAGCTCCTTCCCTCCACCTTTATGCCACCAAATGTGGACTTGAGCTCTTTTGGGTGCTTACAAGCACCCTTGTAACCTTTGGGGACAATGATGTGGTTGACAAGTGCTCCTTCAATCTGAGTAACACCAGGCAAGGAACTGGCACAGAGAGGGGCTCCATGGGCAAGTAACAAGCCAAAATAAAGCTGTTTCCTTTCTTTTTGAGAGCCCTTGGCAGGAAAGCAAACACAGAGGTGGATGGAGCTCTGAAAGGGCTTTGGTCTCCGGGGGTGAGCCTGTGCCATTGCTCCAGGTCCTTTTTCTGCTGGCACAGCTCTCTGTGGACTTAAGCCCTGGTGGCAGGGAGGTTATCACTGGCCTTTGGTGGCACCACTGGCACAGCCCCTCTCGGGGGGGTTGTACTTTTATTTTTGCAAATATTTTGCTGTGCCCTCAGTGCTCCTC